ATTATTACCTCAGAGCATAAGATAATGTTTCACATCCATTTGCAGGTTACCCACGAGAATAAAAAAAATTATGATTATATATAATCACACACGTTCTCATTATTGACTAAGAAATCAATTTAGCCAAAACCGAACTTCAGAGAGTAAAAAGGATGGCTGATGACTCTAAATCTCATTTCATTTTGGTTTCTCTTGTTCATCAAAAGAAACTGTTGTCCTATTCAAAACCACTCTCTAAAGTACATATTCAGTCTTCTACGAGGAAATCAAAGTGAATGTCAGAACATAACCTAAAATATTCTAACTTTGTTTGTATAGCAATTAGATAATTGCTACTTCTCATTTGGCAGTAAGAGCCAACTAATGTAAACAATTTACCTGCAAAAGGGAGGTCATACTACGTGTTTCAATCCAAACAGAAACTAAATGTGGCAGTACTTAGAAAACACTGATGATAAATGATTAGACGGGAATGAAAGTGCGTGAAGATGTACCTCAACAAGGAGACCGAAAGCAACAGTCAGTCGGTCGTGTCCCCCGATCCATACACTTCTGAGAAGCATGTTCACAAAGTAACTCCACACAGATTCAATGCAGCTTTTTTCTTATTAAAACCAAATAATCCTAACCTTTAAAAAAACTGTTCATCTTATAATCAAAACGTCTGACACAGCGATCCATAAACGGACGTCAAGCTAATCCACGCAAAAACAGATTAACAATACGTAAGATTTGAAGTTTTCACAGCGGTGAGTATGAAAATTTCTGTCTTCTGGGTTGTTGTGCTGTGTACACTGATCGATGTTTACTAACGTTTCAGAGGTCATACTGCCTCCGTTATCAGGGCGATGAATATGAAACGTTGGTTAACATCGACCAGACTACATAGCGCAACAACCCAGAAGACAGAAATCTTCAGATTAACAATAAGCTTGAAACCAAAACACGAAATGTGATTCCACGAACACAAGAACTTTTGTATTTCAGCTCAACTCGTAACTCGCGCTTTCGAACGTAGTTCTGACTGCCCTTGTAATTTCACATTCAAGTTCACGCAAATCTTTTTGTCCAACCTTTAGTTGTAATTTTTTTTTAAAACTAGTAACTAGAAAATTCAGATAAATCAACTGGTAAAATGTTCAATCAACAGTATACCAGCAGGTCGCTGGACTGCCCTTTGCAGACCAGTTTTGACAAATGAGAATAAGCTATCACATTGCGGGACCTTCTTTTGGTACAAAATCTGCTTGTTCATTGTTTTGTTCTATATTATATAAATAATTACAATTTAAACCAATTTAAACCATAATATGAAATTAAACTATAAAGTGTTAAAAATTCAATAAAATGAACGTTCTTCCTTGTTTTATATACACGCCTCTGATGCGACTGATCCTTTTAGATGACTCCAGTGTTGTGAAGTACCGAATTCAAACTTTCTTACAAGCTTTTCAAGCGGAATAATTTACACATGAAGTTGATACAAAACAGGAAAGGTAAATGGGATGACTGAAAGAGACAGCAGGAGAGAGACTGGGACAGGAAATGTGTATGAGAAAGGCTGTTAGTGAGGAGAGGGTACAGAGAAAACCACTAAAATGACCTTTTATTAATTTTGTCCCTTGCTGCTGGCTGTTTACACACAGTGAGTAAATAGTAATTTATTAACCCCAGTGCTTTTTTTTTTAGTTGGGTTACGGAATAGACTAGAGGGGCAAAGGAAGGGGATCATTTGTTTCAAGTGTAAATAACAGCTCGATAAAGCCTCTATTCCTACTATTTTATAATGTTCATGAATGCTCAAAAAACTAATGTAAAAATATTAAAATGAGATATTTATAGAACAGTCAAAATTAATTCTGAAAATGATATTTCATGTTTCGATATACCATTTTAAAATAAAGTATTTGATTTATTGGGGTGGGGCAGGGGGATGACCAGAAACTAATTCTCTACTGAATACACAAAGCTGTTATCTATATGAGTTAATTCATTATTAATACAAAAATTGCAATTCCTTTTTTTGCTTTAGAATAGTTTAATTACTAGTATTACATTAATATATATATATTAGGGTTATTAACTGAAAATAAACCCTAATAAAATTTTTTATAACAACTGTGAATGTCATTTATCCTGATGGTCTGCAAGTTTCATACATTTCCTGATTGAGTAAATCATACAAAAAGCATTAACAGTGCAAGTGACTGAAGTATTTTTAAGCAGCAATTTGATTCGATGACTTTCCATATACTTTCTACAAAGCTTCTGTCAGTTTTAATTATTTCTAGATATGCAAGAGTACAGAGCAAGAGAATTGGACTGAACGCACATGAAATGTTAGGGAGGCTACCAGCTCCTTAAATTCAGGCATGAAAATATAACATTGACAAAAATATATACTGGGACAGAAATGCTTCCGAAGCTTATTTTGTCACATAATCCTTTTCATTATGATTCAACATGATGCCAATAGTTTCAGTAGGATCTTGATGCGTAACGTAATTCTGGTAAATTTTCTGTTCCTCAAAGATATAAAAGTGGGCGGTAGGTATAAAAAGGTTGACGACCCCTGCTCTAGACTTTTAACTCGTGAATGCTACTTCACGTTCTTATACATAAATAGTAAAAAGCAGTAGGGACAGATTATCAAGAACCTTCTACACAAAATGTCATCAAAATCAGTCCAATAGTTCCCCAAGTTATGAGACACTTACGATAGAAATCCATTTTAACTATCTCCAAACCTGTAAGGCTTATGAAAAGTGCATTGAGTACAAAATGTTTTACATTTCTCTATGTCTACTGTCCCAAACATTTTTCACTCTGATAAATATTTAGTGAGTTAAATGAGATGTAAAGACCTGCGTGTGGATATTTATATGAAGTGTTAATTTCTGTTGCCTAATTTTAACCAAAACTGGAATGTGGTGATAAAAACATTAAATTTCATAATAATCCATTCAGCAGTTCTCAGAATCTTACGTCAGAAATATTTTGCCGAATACAGTCATGGAAACCGACCAAAAAGAGAGATGCAAGAAATTAAAAATGTAAAATAAACACTTGATTTTGGAAATAATTTCATAAATTGTAAAATTCAAGACAAACTTATAGAAATAATTCACGGAGTCAATGTTTCCGGACCGATAAAAATATTACCCAAAACAAGTAACTTGCATATTTTAACACAGCAGAAAATCAGCAGACCAAGATAGACGCAGGCAGAATACGAAGAGCAAAGATAAAATTCCTAAAAAGTTTTCAGAACGAACAATTAAATGTCTGCTGCAAAATCGTTGCTATCACACGGAACCTGACAGCAAGACATTCATGCTGTCCCACCTAAGTCAATCAACATTAAAACATCATACAATGGCATAAATTACCTACCTGATGGTTAATTGTTAATATTAAAACTTCAATATGCCTTCTACATTTAAGTGATGTGTGATTACAATGCATAAAATCATATCTTACCTTACCGTTGTTCCTCCTTGCAAGGATGGGCTACTGGTGGACAGCTGAAGTGGGTAGTACAAGATATTTCAATATGTTATATACAGTAGTAATTCTTCCATCTTCAAGATGTTGAAAAGACCTCCAGCCATCAGGCAATATTTGGAAAATTTAACAACTGGAAAAAAAAAAGCACGATGCTAACTATGTGGCAGCACATATTCAAGAGCCGGAGGAACATAAACACTTTAGACCAGGGGTCGTCAACCTGGTCCCTACCGCCCACTAGTGGGCGATTCAAGCTTTCATCGTGGGTGATGGCGGTTTTTGTCCGTTGTTACAAATTTTGTTCTTCCTCCATATATCAAATACATTGCTAACAACTTCGCGAGTTTGACTTTTTAAAATATGCTTTTGCAATTTACTTTTGAATTCCGTCTCTAAACTTTGAATATAGATAATAATTCACCGGACACTTCTCGAAGTATACTCGTGGACGAGGGAGCAACGAATGAGCTCCGTAGCCAAAGGCACAAGTTTAATGCGCATAACGAGGACGGGGGCTTACCACCGGCCATCACTCAGTCTTCGATCTGTACCTCTTTCATGGTGGTGGGCAGTACGTGCGGCACCGGTGGGCGGTAAGGAAATTTTACCATCAACAAAGATACAAACGTGGGCGGTAGGTATAAAAATGTTGACGACCCCTGCTTTAGACCATCTTAAACAGACCCATGAAGAATGTGGATAGCTCGGCTTGCACAGCGTTGTGCTAAAACGGTCCCCTTTAATAATTTTGGAAAATTTAAAGAATGTAATAAATGTATAAAATTACAGTAGCTAAATGACGTTGATGGCGAGTTACCCCAGTAAGGAATTCGTGTGCCAATATCTAGGCTAGAGCCAATATTCTCTGAGTAAATCAGCAGCTGCTTACATTTATACAAGTCAGTGATGTGTCAAGTGCTGAATACATGAAAATTGTTTATTGTACTGTGAGGGCAATTTGGCTATGAACCTTCACTTTTGGAGGGCGGTCATTTCCAGATGATGACAGCTTTGTGATATGATCAGCTAAAACTACGGCACAGTTTCTGACTAGCTTGATAGATTGAGTCTGAACAGAACAAAACAATAACAGCCTAGACTATCTGGTTCACATTAGCGTCTTTTAGGTACTATGCTCCAAGTGGCAAGCATAAAGAAAGCATGTGCTGTGAGGTCAATGTTTTATGTACTGCATGAACTCAATCTTAACGTGGATCCACGGCCTTGTCTTGGTAAATAGCGTGACTGGTGTCAGCCACAGACAGCAGATTTAACTTGTACAGTAGGTCCCGGGAGTGAGACAGGGCTCGAGGCAACACAAACGCATGTCGTACTTGGAGGTAATGGTTAAGAAAGCTTTCAACTGTATCTCCAATTACTACTGACTGGATGCAATTTCATTGCAGACTTGTATACAGGTATCATTGTCATCGGGTGAGGTGATGGTAATTTTGGTGAATGGACTAGGAATGTGGGGTTAAAATTAATTAATGTGATAAACATAAAACTTTATTCACAAGGTGTTGTAGCCTACAACAAAAACGACGACTGAACTTTGATTATACCAGAAAGTGGCTTCAGAAATAATGCAATTCTTGAACACAACTGCAATCAGATTATGATAAATGCCATAATAAGGATAATCTCTTAAATGACACAAAATCATTACCACACTGCAAGAAACAGTGACTTATTTATATTCAACATTAAATTGGTTCCTGTGGTGGTGAGTATGTAGACTGTCGCGCCATGTAGTCTGGTAAAGTTCACCGAAATTTCAGAAGTGCTGGCAGCCTCTATCATCAGGAAAATCTCATCACGTGATGGAGGCGCTAAGCATGTCTGAAATGTCTGTACTTTTACCAGACTACATGGTGCAACCCAGAAGATAGCCACCTGAATCCATTCACTTATTTACTGCTGCGGTGTCACATTATAAGGCTTGTAATTACCAACTAAATTACATTATGTACTACTAAACTGTATATGCCTGCCTAGCCAGAACAAAGCAGTGGGAAAAAATTACTTTATGCAGTATACTGTCCTCCCAGCAATAACCAGATAAAGGACGGAAGGAACAGAAGGGTTTTAAAATTCAGATGATTGACAGCACTGGCTATTCTAACTACAGAGTTCTTCTTCAAGTGAACAGTGTGATAGTACCTTCATTTAGATGATTGTAACTGAAAAAATTACTTCTTTCCAGCTTTCATTTTTAAGCGTCTGTTTTTCCCTGGTCGTTGATGCTTTTGTGCAGCTCCGGGACGTTTTAGTTTGCTTGGCCGTTTGAACTCGGAAACGTCTGAACTACTGTTCTTTGTATTTCTCTTCATTCCCTTTTTCTTTCCACCATACCCAAACTTTTGGTCTTTATATCGACGTTTTCCTTGAACCCTGTAACATTTCATACAAATATTACGTATATAAACCATGACAAATAATGAAACAAATTATATGAACGTGACATGGAACAAATATTTATGTTACAGGTAAATGTGACTGTTTTGAAACATTAAGTATCTAGACTCAAAAGTAACACATAATAATCAGGTTCTTGAAGAAACTCAGACAAGAACAGAATCTAAAAATGATTCTTGTTTTTCAGTTCCCCATCTCACTCACTTTACAAAACACTGAACACCAGGATATTACAAATATTTTTTCTATTTGTACTCATAGGGGCATGAAATGTGGTTTCTTATTAGAGAAAAACAAATTACAAAGGCTTGAAATGAAAGTGCTCAGGAGAATATGTGGATGTAACAATATTTAAGTTGGCTATTTAGAATATTATATAATAATAAACTTTGAAATGCCACCTAGGTCACCTAGTATTGTTACAAGAGTGATATCTAGACACCTAAAATGGGTACATGAATACATCTGTATAACAGTTTACACAGAAGACTTTGAAGCAGTGGTGCAACCTGAACAAAAACAGAAAAATGTAAATGTGGAATGTCATATGTTTTATTTAATTTTTAAATGTTGTAATTGTGAATGTGAATCACAGCTTTTATAGTGTTTTAACCAGATGACAAAAACCAAAAGTGACTGTTAGTAACTTATGATATAATATGTAATAACTCAGAAATGTCTAAAGGCATTGTTTGGCATAATTAAGAATCATGTAGTATATACTGAACTGATAATGGTGAACATGTAGCTAAAATATTAACCAATAACAGAAGTAGCGGTCTGTTCATTCTACTTAAATGTAATTCTTAATACACAGTATCCCAACTCACACAAACCAAAATTTCAAAAACAAATATTTTGTAAATGTGATTGGAAAACTTCAATTTCCATGCCCAATAGTAATACTGGACTCCTGTGACCCCAATAACTCGGTGGTTGGTGCAGTTTCTTCTTAGCCAATTCTTTGTGCAACAAACATTATATCACTTTCAACAGTGCAGCGTGCGTTTACTGTTCAACACCATTTTAATGGAGTTGGTCTACAAGAACAATCCACAAATATCAGAGCAACTAAAAACCAAAAATGGGACGAAGACTGGAAAAAAATCGATGGTATCATTATTCATAAAGTTTCTAGGAACATACTGAAATGGGTTGAGTTATATCATCAACAGTTTGGAGAACATTTTAAACATGTTGTAATTATGTAATTACAACCTTAATATGCAAGTATAGCTTAATACTGGTATATAGTAAATATAACATTCAACCTTGGGTTGCATGACTTTTAGCACACAAAGTATTTGACAGAACACTCCAGAACAGACATTACTAAAAATATAAATTATCTTTACTTTTTATTTACAGGCCCCTTCCTATTTCCTTGAGAAGCTGATGGTTTCTGCTTTTTCTTTTTCTCCTCCAAGAAGTCCAGATCTGTACGCAGTCCTTTTCTGTACTTCTTCACTTCTTCCAACAGTTGCCTTTTTTCACTAGCTTGGCGGACCTTAGCCTCTTTCTGAACCTGCTTTCCAACCTTACGGAGCTGACGCAGTTGACGTACACGTTCACTGCGTTCTTGTGCATGCTGTTTCTTCATCATAACATCTCGTACCTAAAAGAAACAGACTATTAGAATGATATTTTGTTTTCATAACAAATAAACATGCACAATGCATCACTTTCTTTCATATACAACTGAAATTAACCTTTAAAACACTGCTGGTGATATAAAAATATATTCACTCACCTTCTGCATGTGTTGATCTGACTTTGCCATTTCAGCAAAGTAATCATCTGGGCGTTTAGTCTTCACACCCTGTTCTTTAAGTTTGGGAATAGCAATGAGAACAGCTGCCTGTGCTTGGCGATGGAACATCGTTTCCCGACGGAAATCATTTAGAGCTAGATCGTCTGTTTTGACACTCTGCAACTTCTGACCCTTTCCTTTAACTTTCATAAACTTCGCTTCATGCCGCAGCTCTTCTTCTTGTAACTTGTGAACACATGAAATAAGTATATAAGGACAAGAAACAAACACTTGTACTCAACTCAAAGCTGTATTTCCCCATCAAATTGCTACCTTATAAAGTGTAACAATAGTCTCAGATGCCTCAGTATTGACCTAGACAAAACCACACTACAGGATAACATCTTTAACTAGAAATTAAATATAAAATTAAATCCGTGACGTAACAGCTCCAGAGAGCCAAAGCCGACTAGCATGACTGCTGGCCTCACGTTCACATGCCTACGCAGAGGTGAACAATCATCCAACCACATATAGGGTGACGTGTGGTCAGCATGACGAACCCCCAGCCATTGCTAATTTCCTGACCAGATTACGCTACTCATTGTAGCTCCCCAATTTCCTCACGATGCTGGGTTGGCAACGGTCCCATACACCAGTCGAAAGCTCATGAGAAAATGTCTTCTCTCCCGAGACTCGAACCAGCGCGCATTCCGTATTGCCGGTCCGAAGCATGATGCCTCAGACGGCGCAGGACTTAACTAGAAATTACAGTTTTATTTTGGTGTTAGCAAGAATTCTACATGGAGGATATATGGCACCAGACATGGAATGGCCTTTCCACTATACACAACATCCATCAATTGTAAGTCAGCAGCAGTGATAAGAGTAACTGTATTAAACTGCCTTGCAGTATTCATGTGTGACTAAGTGTTATACAAAATTCCCTCTGTATTGGACATGGATAAAGTTTACACCACAGCAGGGGCCAGCAACCTGTAGCCTGCATACCACATGTGGCTCTTGCAACCTTCTTACATGGCCAGTTATATGATTTGGGAAATAACCAATGCAAGGGAAACATTTTGTGTCACTGAGGAACACCAATATAAATGTACATTACACTATTATATATTAAAGTACATTATTTAAGCATAAAGGCAAAACAACTGAAAAAAATTAATGACACAGGTTTTATAAGTGTAGACCTATAACGTGAAAATTGTGTTATGGCACAAAGGTACATTGTTCCACTGTTCAAACCACGTAAGATTGAACAAAATAATATGAAAATTACTGTGGTATTAATAACTGAACTTTTATAAAATTAACAATGACTTGAAATCAAAACTATCTGAAAGGTAACACATATCTTTATAGTAAACTCAGATTTAGTGTAGCCTCCAATGGCATAATGTCAATATAAAATTTAATAAAAATCCATCCAGTGGTTTTCAATTTTAATCAGATGGGCAGCCAGACAGACACAGTTGTGTATTTATTTTGTGCACACCGAGTAAAGAATACCTAGTAAGGGGCAACACAAACAAATAACGGGACCTGGGCTTTCTAAAATGTTACAGCATGAAGAACTATAATAAGAATAGTGTTCAGTCTTACAGGCTTTACTTCTCATACTGAATATTTAGTTTCATTTGGGCAAATTATGTAATACAAATTTAATCTAATTTTAGCCTGTGTTAACTAAACATAACACTGCTGTCTAGTATTCTCACATCTAGTACACTTCAAAAGACTGTAAACAACATACGATGTTTTGAAATTCATATAAATAAATGGGAGCTTAGAAGCAAAATATGATAAATATCTCTGACAGTGTGTAACTGCATTAAAATTGAAAGTTCAAGTGAAATTAAGTTGGATTTTGAGTAAAACTGTCACAGTTACAGGCATTCTAATTGCAACATGCATTCAGTTCCCCATGTCAAATACTGTAACTTTTATAATATACAACAATATAAATTTCCTACCGGCAATGACTGCACATCGTACTATGGTACGACACATCATAGGATATAATTCTCAAGTTCAAAATTAATATGGCTTACCTTCAGCGCAAGTTCGGGTGCAAGGGGTGCCTGACCATTTACCAGATCCAAACATTCAATCCAGTCAAGCTTCAATTTTATGTCTGACAACTTCCTTTTAAGTTCAGCCTATAAACCAGGAAAACAACATGAATTAGGTATGTAGTGATATAAGCTTCATAGGACAACTTTCGCATATATATATATATATATATATAAGGACCACTCATAATGAGGCATGTGCTTATGCACGCACATATTTTCCATTGTGATTCATAACTGTCCCACTAAACTATACACAATATCAGATTTGTCCTCCTGTAGTTGCTAAGATTCCACATGCAATGCCCCAGTAGTAAATAACATAAAATATTTGTGATAACACAGCCCTTCGTTTTTTAAATCTGATAATGGAAGTTGCAGTTCACTAACTTTCATGTGTTACCCAAGTGGTAGAAGTACAAAGAGGTATAAAAAAAATTGGGTGTTTTAGGCAATTTCATTACTTTAGTATAGTCGATTCAAAAAAAGGATAAAAGATGGATGCTTTCTGTATTTCACAATAATTATGTACAAACCCTCCTAAATGTCTGAAAATGTTCACCCTCCTTTTAACACTATTCAAGCCTTCTAACAAACTCTTCATACAGAATATGAAACTGAATACTTGTTGTCATTCCTCACAAAAACTATCCCTTACATCATAAGATTTATCGTTCTTTGTAGTACGTGTACATTCAAATAATATCACAGCACCCACCCCTTGATATAATACATGATATTCTCATTAATAAACTGTTCCATACTTCTATAACAGCTGTAGATCTCAATTTTTCCAGTCACCAAGTGATGATTAGCATTCCTTACTTACCACATCATTTTTATAGTGTTTCCTCTGCTCAGTGGACACTATATTCAACCCTGGTTTCACTAGTCCCTTTGCAAATGCTTCTTGCAACTGTAAAAAAATAAATGTACTTCACAGAACTTTTTAATCATTCTCAAAATGTAACAATATTATTCGAAATAACCTTCATCATCAAAGTGCCAGATCCATTTAATATTATAGTCCTTAGTTTGTTCCCTCATGCTGTCAACACACTGTATAAAAATAAAGATGAGAACACGACTTTTAGTCGTGGCTTCTCTATATCTTTTGCCATGTATGACCTTACTAGTTATACAGTGTGTTAAATGCACACAAAATTGTCAAAAGCTGGTTGGTTCTTGGCCTTGAAATCAAACAGAAATGGTTCTTTGTGACTGTCAATACTGTAACAATCAAAACCTAAACTCATACCAACTTGACAGGCAGTAACACTATATGGACCTATATCTTCATCACTGTAAGAACCTCAAATCTCACTCCAAGTTAACCAATATTTAGGTAGTGGCACTTTTTCTACACCAGCTGCAGTATTTATTCTTGGTGAAGAACTCATTCAACTGAACTATAAGTAACAAAAACAAATCTACAAAGTTAAATGAACCAATGAATTGAACCATTCAATCTGCTATATAGGACAAGAGTAAATGTACAGGTGCACAGCAGTAAGTGACAGCAGTTCTGATCAATTCCCGAGCAGCATCCAGTTCACTCCATCAATTCCTGCCTCCCTAAGGTCCATCTTAATGTTTTCCTCCCACCTACACCTGGACCTTCCCAGCGGTCACCTCCCTTCAGGTCTTATAAACACCTCTCCCCTCCACCATGGATACAGCATGTTCCGACCACCTCATCCTCCTTGATTTAACCACCCTAACAACATCAAGTGGGGAGTACAGGCCGTAAAGCTCATCTTATGCAATTTTCTCCAAATATCCTCCTCAACACTATTCTCAAAGATCCTAAATCTATGTTCCTCCCTCAAAGTGAGAATGTAGCGTAGATATAACAACCGTAAACAACATCTGAGTTGCCTGGAAAACATGTTTTTACTCATGTATGAGGTGAAGGTGATTTTACTCCTTGCTCAAACAGCATCTTAGTTTTGTGTAAACTGTGTGAACTCCGATTCTAAATATTACAGATTATCACATATTTGTAGGATTTGAGGTTTTCACAGCGGTGAGTCTGAAGATAGCTGTTTTCTGGGTTCTTGAACAGTGTAGTCTGGTAGAAGTTTACCACATATTTGTATTCAACAGGCATGAGTTTAAAATCTTTACTTAGACATTAACCTAAAAAAATCTATCGTGATTTTCTGCGGCTATACACTCAAAAGCTGATTACATATATCCCATTAGTATCCTTCTCAACTGCCTCATTCGACGTTCTACAACCTATGCGCCTGTAATGCAGGCTTTCTAGGCAAATATAATTTACATAACACAATCTATACAGACCTCATCACAAAAAAATTAATTTTCTATTTTACCTCCAGATCAGAGTCGCTTTCTACATCTTCAATATTTGATTCACTATCAGACATTTCTGCAACGTCTTCCTAAAACAGACACACGTGCTCCTGCCCACACACGTTCCTTCCTTTGTCACAGAGTACCTACTTACACTTCAAAGACTGTAGGAGACTCCACTGCAATTCTGGAGTATAAAGTTTGCCACTACAGAGCACAGAAACTTTCAACATGGTCCGTTGGTGTAAGGCCATAATGTAGGTTGTTCCTTTTTAACAGGTTGCCACGTTGGCAGTATTGTATTGCGTTTTGAATACCAACAGTTTATGAATATAAGTGATAGGTTGAAAGACGCTTAATTTAAAAGACACATGAGATCTCAATGAATATGCTATTTCATTAATATCTTTGCTCAGCTTTATTGACAAATTAGAACGTGTTTTATTCTATTAAAGGATCGAAAAAGTCAAGTTCGCATTGTTTTTATACATACATTTTAAAAACAAACAGGTTTGTGGTAACTTCATCTAAACACTGATTTCGGCCTTACTTTGGAACTGTGTGCATCTCCGACACAAGGGGATTGTGGAACCTCATATACTACTGAATTAAACATGTTAGAATACTGTTATACATTTTTATGGGTTAAAATATTAAAATTGTCTTCATTAGAATAAATTGTGGTCATCTAAATTCAGATAACTGACTTAATATAAAGCTCCTAGAACACACTGCACAGCGTTATTCTACTGCTGACAGCTATTACACTGCAGACGGGTGTAAGTTATTTTTCCTCATATTTAATTAAATATGCACTGTTTGTTTGAATAATAAAGGTCTTAGGTTATGTTTTGTTAATAGGGCTATGGGATGACAAATTCATATAAACACAGTTTATATTGGTCCAATACGGACCAAAATTAATTTTGCTAAAGAATTGTTAGTTAAGATCCCTGCATTACAAAATGTAGCCATTAGCTTGAACACACATTGAATTTTCAGCATCATGCAGATTTCAATTATTTTGTATTATCAAGCAAACTATAATGTTGGTAGCTTTACTTTGTAGGATATAATGAGAAATCTTCCCTGTGTCAAGAATAAAATTTGTTTTCCCTTTAAGACCCAAAAAACTGTTTACCCCTTGAGTTAACCAACAAAGTCACTGAAATAATTTCCTTACATGCAATTAAATGTCATCAACATTAAACAAATTTGTACATTACAGAACAACACAATTTATTTATTTGATTTAATGACTTTCAATAGCTCAGAGCATTGACTGATAGCACAGTTAGTGACTAATGAATTGGAAAGGATGTGGAAGGGTGGTATGATTTGTGGTACTATCCTAACATTTGCCTGGATTATTGAGGAAAGTATAAAAAACCTGTCATGATAGCCAGTCACCAGGCTAGTGTTTTAACCTGGGACCCCTCAAATACAAAGCAACATTCATTCCTCAAACAGAAATATATAAACTGAATATGTTACCTTAAAACTGAACATGCATTTTTATTCCATACTGTTTCTCATTTAATATATTTCATTAAATGAATAATTTACTCACCACTACAGTACTCCTCAGTCTCATATAAATATAAGATCATATTTGGCATATAAATTAATCATCAAATTTAGAAACTCCTTTAACATGCAATAGAAAGCTCTGTTAAGGAAAACTAACATTTTCAAAACTGGACATGTAGAGTTACACTGAACAGTTTTGCCTCCAGACATTCACAACCTCATACTCACTTCCACTAGTTTCAGTGATCAGCTCAACTCTATTTTACATTGTATTATCAATGAATTAAAAATGGTGTTAATAATAATTCAGACAAGCGCAAATGATAGTACCACATACAGTAGCCATCTTGTATGTCAACAGCAGAAAAGAATCTGGAAAAAAATGTTAAGCATTCATTAATATTCACAAACTATCCATGAACCGTACAAAAATTGAGAATACACTTCTTACTCATAACAGATATTGTTCAGCAGCAAAAATAGCTTAATCTTAAATAACAAACAAAATACTGAATACAGAAATAAAATGGTACAAATATGCTGACTATACCAGGCATGTCAAACTGAAAACCTGCGAAATGCATGCAGATTTCTTTTATGTTTTATGTGACCCATCTGACTTAAGCCCCAAATGTCCCAATTTTAATACACTAAGTTTCAAATGAATGTCAATTAGCTACCTGTGTACTGCTGGTTTATAGTTAAATCAAGTGGAAATGTGTTCCAATGAAATTAAATTGTGTGTACTTGTGGGAAAACAGAGGAAATAAAAGTGTATCTTATGTTTAAGCTTGAAATTAGAAAAAGTAGGCCAAATATTTGAACCTCAAAATAATATAATTGAAATAGAAACAACTGTAAATAACATTTAATATTCTCCAAAATTCTTTCAACCCAAATCTTATATACAAAAATATCTGCTCATATATATACATACAAGTTGTTAACAGATCTCTAACCAGGGACACCAGGTAGAATATGAACTAAATTTAACAATATTCTGTATCAGAACATTCACTGTTCCAAAACTCCAGTTCAGTATTTTTGTAACCATCTTTCACCTTAAATGAAATTTAAAAAAGTTCAACAATGGTGAAGGTTTTCAAATTGGAGAAAATAATTCAAAGGATTTGCTAACATGTAATAATGCTGTCTACTGCTGAAGTAAAAAAATAACCTCAACTTATTGTAAGGAATATTATATGTAACTGTTTAATGAAGAGCTTCAGAATGTTGAAATGTGATTAGTATCATCTCATACTGCTGTGGTTTAAAAAAGCCTCATATTTCAAAGACTCCTCTTCAAATACCAGAGTTTGCCAAGGAGGCTTTGATGCTGTATTTATTAAAAATATATGAAACAGTAAATGTTTGCATGGTTCCAGATCTTCTATTGAGAATGTATAAAGTTTTAATGTTGCAGATTAATTCTGAGGTATTTAAAATTAATTTAAACCCTAATATTATACAAAGAAGTAGTGTATTTCTGTCAATGAATGATTAAACCTACAAGTATAATATAATACAGCAGCACTCTCTAAGCCATGTTATATTCAATTGTCATAGAGTTTGCTTATAATGAATGAAAGAGAGTTCACTCTTACTTACAAAATTTGTACATCTATTCAGATGACAGACAAAAGTTTTTGCATCAGTCTAACATAATTAAAAATAACTCATTATATAATCAAGTAATACAGGATGAGATAAACACCAACAAATTCTCTCTTTCAAGAATTTGTTCTTCACCCCTCATTATCCTTGTTAATAAAACTATGTTTGACAATTTTATGCATCGATCAGGGGTGAAGCATTCATGTTTGCCATTTTGACCACATTAGCCCAGCTAAAAACAAAAAATAAAAAGTCCTCTGTCTTATTTTCATGGTTCATTGGTACTCAAAATACTGGAACACAGGAGAACTGATCAGATAAATTGCATCATTAGCTTACAGTAAATGTAAGCCTCAACTAGCTGGCTAACAATGCCTGGTATGCTGTAGCTGGCAAATGATGCATTCTATCTGGTTTTGCTTTGTTCCAGTGTATCTGAACCATGAAAGGAAGACAAGACTTTTTAATTTTACTATTCTAAGTGTTAGCCATGCTAACACTAACACTCCACCCCTGGCAACATTAAAGCTTACAGAAACATGTACTTATGCACACTTTTGCAACAAAGACTTTTACAACTTTCTATACAAGATCTGCAGCCTTTTTGTAAGGTTATATAGACTGAAATGCATTGCAGGAGTTCATCCTACTTTTAAAAATCTAAAAGATTTTTGATTTTGGTCCCATACCATGGGTACATCAGTATATAGCATTCCAACAGACCATTTATATTTAAGGCTATATTCGTTGTAAAAAAACTGCTGATAAAATAATTTTTCCCTTTAAAGTAACTTTTATAAGTTCATTTTTTGATTTGTCCATATATGTAAAAAGTATGCATTATAAATTGTACAAAGGATTGTTACAAGAAAACAAACATCCAGCAAATTTTTCACAATATCCCTCTATACATGAGCTGTTAATATAAAGGTTCCTACACTCAGAGATTTCTGTTCCTATGGAAAGCCGAATGATTTCAGCAGAGCAATGTCTCTCTCCTTAAATCCTTACACTGGAGACAGATGACCATTCCTGACGATAACTGATAAGTTCCCAACAAATGGAACTTCCAAGAAAAAAAATTATTATGCATTCATAATTTTTATTTCTAAGCAAAATTAAATAGAAATCTAACTACTAAATCAACTTGCCAAGTTACATTGTACCACTGGTTTTCGTTCGAAGACTACTGTTTTATTATTCAACAAAATTTGGCTTTTTTTTCGTATCCAGTACACACCATTCAGCATGGTGTGCATTGGTGGTTAGCAGGATTCACGACCCATTAGTACATGGGTTCAATCGGGACTGTGACATTTAATGCTCCTGCTGTGACCCCCTTTTTGCGAGATGATGATGAAAGTGGAGTAATTGTTGGGATAACACGGATAAACCGGGGAAACCCCGGATTAAAACTCTGTGATGCCTGGACCACAGCCTTGCCCAACACAAGTTGTAAATCTGAGCACCGCCGGGATTCAAAACCGGGACCCCAGTATTACAAGCCCAGCGTTATAACCGCTAGACCATGGTAATTTGGCTGTAATCCAACTAAAAGATGGAAGGCATAAAGACCACTTATACCTCTACACACAGCTCATATGAAGGTCATTTGGTGATACACTGAAATCTCTGAATAAAAACCTTCAGATTTAGCAACACAGGGATATAGTGAAGTGCTGTAAATCACATGAAATAAATAAGCAGTTTTCTTTTAGAAGAAGGAATGTTTGTATGATTTACATGATGTGTATGAACAAACATCTGGAATAATTAAAATGTAAAATGTATCATATCTTATACATAAATAGGAGCAGATAAGAACACAGAGACCATGTTTAAGTGTGGTACATTGCCACTGGCCTTTCTATTCTATAATGAAATAACACACACTTATAAATACCATAATGTAACTCAGAATTGGATTGGCTCTGAAACACGAGGAAATTTCTTTGTATATTTCATTGACATCATCCCTAAACTTCAGATGCTATGATAAGATTATTTTTTCAATTGTTTTTATTCTATCCATGACAGTAAGGTTTGTTAAGAAGGTAAAGCTCTACACATTCTTATACTCTGTACTAGATGGAGGAGCAGTAACAGAATTCATATCACCCATTGGATGGGTGTTAGAATTGAATCTAGACAAGGCAGTGAAAAAAAAAAAATTCAGTGCCTGCCTTGACAGCAACTGATGACCAGCTATCCACACTGTATCCCATCATTCCACTGAGTTCTTGTGACTCAAACTGCACGTTTTAATTGAGTACTGCCGATAGTAGGATTACCAGGTTTCTGGACTTTAACCATTGTCTAGCATTCCAAACAGAACAAAACATTCTGGAAAGTGGATCTGTTTCTTTCCTTAAGTTATCAGTGTCTACCAGAACAATGATTGAGGTTAGCGTTTTCTAACAGACCATCCTTTTTACCTGAGGACTGAAACAGATCCATTTTCCAAAATGATGTGTTCAATTTCTAAAAGTAGATGGAGAAAATCCAGAAATTCATTAATAATAATCATAATATATCATTACCAGAACCGTTTCGAATTGATACTGCCAACATGTTGAATATGCTGACCGTAAAACTTAAAAACTTGTTTGTAAGAAATGTCTATAATGACAAGTATGAAAATTAAATACTTGCAAGGAATGTTTAGAGGAAGTTCTTTGGCTCTAAGACCTTCCTGGTTTGAACCCTCTAACCCAACCTGATTCTGGTTACATCCAGGATTACAAATTTAATTTTTCATCATGATGAATTGCAAGATCATACAAATATTTCCACTTTTATACCAGAATTCAACTATATTTATACAGTGTTCAAGAAGAATAAACATAAGCAGCAATAAACTATTCAGATCAATTCCATATGTATCATCAGGCATAACATTAAAGTCTAGGTACTGCATTCATATCTCTATAAGAAATATTTCTCCCTTCTGTGCAAGTACAAAATAGCATACAAATGTATTAGCAGCATTCACTGTTTTATATTAAGATTGACAACAGTACACTGAAGTTCACTTTTCCAAGAACAGTAACATTTCAGAACCCAGATCAAGTAATGTAACATCCTATTCATCCATTAAGATGAGCATAGCCAACTCAGAATGTAAGTTTCAATAATAGCTTTCACTTAACACTGTTTAACCCATTAATTCTTCTTCTATTTCCGGTTTAACAATGTTTATACATTTTACGGGTCCCAACTTTCCGTTGGCTTGATCTATGGACATTCGGTAGGACTCCTTGGACGAGGGATTGGCCCGTCGCAAGGCCACCCATTAATTTATTTATATATATATATATTTAAAAACTCTGCCTCTGTAAGAATTGGAACCATATTTATATAAAACAGGAATATTAGAATATGCACTATTAGGAGGCAGGTGAAAACTATGAATATGTAATATTTATTGACCCGGTGACAAATATTTTTCCACCAATTTATGTTAAAAATGAAGTAAAGTGTTTTCTTATTGTCTGAAATAACTCTACCGATCTGTAAGGAAAAACTTATTAAAAGCCAGGCGTACATGTGAGAATATAAATATTTAGTTAATAGAGTCACACAAACTTTGCTCAGAGTTAATCTGTTTCCAGTGAATGTTACACTTTTGGCCAAAAAATATTCTTACATCTAAAGTCAACTAATCAACCTACATGATCCACCACATAAGTTTGTTATAGAGATTACTCAAGATTATGCCCACAAAACTTCATAAGGTGTGGTGAGTGAATAGACAGCAAGAGCTAAGAGTATTACTTTGGCATTAGACTCAATTTAAGTTCCAATAGTAAGCAATATTCTTTGCAGTAATGCATTATTTTGATGAAAGATGCGCTATGGAAGCATCAGTGCTACAGAGTAATTTATACACAGACCCCAGTGTCAACCAAAATAATTTTGTCAATGTTGTCTTCTGGGCGGTAACAATGGTCTTGCACAATCCATAAGACCAACACTTTCACTGCCTTGAGAGCCACAAATCTTAAAATTATTTGTATCTTGCCAAAAACATGTTATTCTCAGAATGGTAATAATCCCCCAGCATCCTAACAATTTTTTTCAAATGATAAATCTCTTTCATATAAGAACAGGGAATTTAAATCCCTGTATTACAGGGCTGCCAGCCAGACTAACTCTGGGGATAACAGTATAGCTGTATGCCAGTATGACACTCAGCCATAATGACAGAGAAAAATTGACTCTATAATTCATTTAGAGAAACAAATGTATTATACTATAAGCTGTCACATTTAAAGTTATTGTAATGAAGTACTACTGCAAAATAAAACTAAGATTTAGCATGACTGATAAAGTGAGATGTTGCATAGCTATGTCATCTTCAGAAATATTTTCGCCTTATAAAATGCTACTTTTTTAATGAACAAACATTTTTTCTCAAACACGTTACAAATTGGACAAAGGATGTGTGTATAATGACAAGACAATTAGCCTTTATCATATCTGCACCATGGTTTATGTGTAATCCAGAATACCATGTGTCACCTTAGCATACCGTTGAACTCTTTGCTGCATTCTCAAGATTTGTATTACACTTATATACATAATAAAGAGACACTTATTACTTTTTTACTGAATATTCGTTCCAGATGCTGCGAATTGTTTGTACAGCTTACATGTATACTTCCTGCACTGCATTCATAAAACTGATAGTCCTTAATTAATGTTAGCCAGCACAGTTATTAAATTACTGCATTCAGCACAAGGCATCGATACATATCCAGTACCTCAGTTTCAAGCTGAAATAAAGTATGTTTTATATTTCTGAGTATTTATTTGCATAAATTATCACTGATTTATTAACAGTGCATACATATCTGCCTGTGGGAAAAAGAATTCACACATGTGAAGCAAATGGTACAATAATATAAGCCACACATTGTTGCATTTATCAGAATTGAAAATAAACATATTATTTTAAATGGAGGGAGAGAAAAAAGACTTATAAAGCACAACCTTCAGAAAAATTTGAAGCATTTGACTGTTAAATGTACTATGAAGGATATCACAGAATGAAAATAGGACCTATCAGTATACAGTACTCCTTTCATCAGTTGTACAAAAGAATCACAAGTACGGTTGACAAAATCAGAATCGCCAATAACACGCTGAAACATAGTTTCACCAGTTAACCAATGAAAAATGTTACCATTTCAAGTGAATCATTTTATTTACCAAAATGTTTCTTAACTGCAAACTACTTTTATCAGACAGAATTATACGTCTATAAGGCTACTTGCATACATATATAAATATGCTTACACTTTGCATGGCTTGGAGCCATCACATGTTTCAAGTCATGAATAGAAATACTTCATTCAATAAAATCTTCCTAGGCAACAAGCCATGGCAGTTGTGGACATTATGGAGACTGTCTTTGCCTCCATCATCAGGGAAATGATATGAAGTTTGACTGCTGAAGATGTTTATATATGTGGTCAAAGTTCCCCATGTGGCCATTGGCTAATTGGGAATAGCAGACAAATTTGACTCAAGATTCACCTGAACTTCAGGTTGAGCTGTTATTCCCCATTAAACAATGGCTGTACAGGGGGAATCTTCAACCACATATATAATCATCAGGAATCAACCGTCACATCATTTCCCTAATGGTGGAAGAAGTGAAAGTCTGAAACATTGGGCTTTTGTCCACAACTGACATGACTTGTTACCCGAGAAGATTTTATTGAGTTCAGTTGTCGTGAACACTTGAAGCCTTATAAAAATACAGCACTCTGTAATGTGCCGAAGTTCAAATGAATATTCTGAAGGGCTTTCATTTCATACAATAAACATCACAAATTTTAAATGAAAAGAAGGTAATTTATAATGGAACCTAACATGGCTGAAATAGATTATGGGTCTGAAGAAATGTACCTGGAAAAATAAATAAAAAAGAAATATCTAACATCATAAGACTGGAAAGCATATTTTAAATAGGCAACAGTATCAAGTACTAACTTATGAATCTGACTAACATCTGTAATAACAATTTCACAATTAAAAAGGATACTTTCAAATTACAAAACACTGGCATATTAAACCTGCTACACTTATTATATTTACATGTATTTACAATATCCATATCCAACAGATCCAAGTCAGAGTCTTTAATTATAATTTAGTTATGTTAACAATCCTAACTTCATATTTATGGAGAATATGACTTGTAGTCTTAACAGCAAACGTGTAGCTTGTAGCTGTCTATTTAATCCTCATGTTGAGGAATGTAACAGTTATGATTATCTTCCACTGCCCTCCCCCCAAAGGTGGCTGTTGAATGCCTCACAATTTTTTATGTTGTGCAGTCCTACACAACAGCCATTTTACTCTCTTCACTTCTACTTGAAAACATAAGTCTTTATTTTTATTTTTTATTACAGCAGGTGTTAAAACTAGTAACCTCCTCCTTGGGCCAGTAAATGCTACTGTGGGGACTCTCTCATTAGTTGCATCATCCCAGCCCTTATTCCGTACCTTCCAATTCTGAAAATGACTATTCTATCACAATGTTTTCACAAAGGTTGTATACAATCAAACCAGCAACTGAAAGTTGGTTAATGTGCAGCATACATTGTGACAGTAATCTGTTTCCATACCAGGTGCTTCACAGAAGACCAAGGCCAGAGATGTTCATATACTTTAGGGCTGCATTACATAAAAAAATCACAAGGCACTGAATGTTCTGCTTTTAAACTCTTAAATTTTAAAATCTACTATCTTAAATTGACTTGATGTTAAAAATCCTAGAAATCTTCTCTAGAATAATTCATAGACAATTGATTTAAAAATAGTAATTACTTGTCCTGTGATTGAGTTTTTCATCTGATTTATTCTAATTTGACTAATCATTATTGTTACAATATAACATACAAACAAGGCAGTGTACTACAAATAAAAATTCTGACTGGACAAATGAGGACATTGCACTCAGCTTTATTAAATCAGAAGAATAAATGCAGTTTCATATTCAATGTGTTATTGAGGAAAAGCACAATGTTGGTTTTCTTAGTGTTTCATATCAAAATGAGTAATGAAGTACTCTGTGAACTTCTCTTCTGCTCTCACAATATTATCATGTGTGTGAACACTTCATAATATAAACATGTAAAAATTGTTCATTTAAATATATTACTAGTACGTTTAAATTAAAATGACTGCTTACTGCCCTGCATTCAGTTTTCTATGTAGAAGGTAACAGGTCATAATATGTAAGATTTGAGGTTTTCACAGCGGTGAGTATGAAGATTTCTGTCTTCTGGGTTGATAGATGTTTACCCTAATGACGGAGGCAGTATGACCTCTGAAACGTTGGTTAACATCGACCAGACTACACAGCGCAACAACCCAGAAGACAAATCTTCAGATCATAATATGCTGAAAACATAAATTTTGAGAGAATACACCAGTTTGTATTCAATATACTGTCATAAATTGCATTCTCATGAAGTTTAATGTGAAAGAAGTATCAAAAAAAGGAAGTTCTAATATTTATGGAACTTGGCTGAAATATGTATCTTACTTCTCTCGCATATAAACATTATGAAGGAAGATAAGACTTGGCCATATGTCACAATGATACCCAGAATTTCCCTGAACCACACAAATCATTGAAAAGAAAAATACAATGTTGCTCTAGTAATTCATACAGGTTTCAGCTCTGGAAAAACTAATCATGGTCAGTTCTGTACGTGGCAAAACAAATGTCTTGCTTTTTTTATATACCAACACCACAATATATATGGTTTTAACAGGATTATCATAAAAGTCCACTGTTGAAGACAGGTGTATTATGAAGAATATGATAATCAAAGTTTCCGTTTCTTATTTCTAATACACGCTGAGTTACTCTTATAATGTCCCTGCAGAAGAAGAAATGTTTATGGATCTTACTGTCTGAATGTAATCCATTACTACTGACAAAATTCCATCCACTTGTTACCGAAAGTGTAACTACATTTTCTAGAATTAAAAAAATACTTGTCCAGTTTCAGACATTTTTTATAGAACAACTGATCTTAAATACCCTAGCAAATGTCGTCGTCGTCATCATCATCATCATCCAATGGCTCTACAGCCTATATCGGGCCTTGGCCTACTCAATTTTCTGCCTCCATGAAGATCTATTATTTGCGGCCATTTTCCAATTTCGACATTGGATCAGAAGGCAGCATCCCGTCTCACAGCATCTTCCCTTCTTCCTTTAGGTTTTCCCACCGTTCTTGTCCCTTCATACTTAGCATTTAGGACTTTCTTAGGGGTTCTTGTGCCATCCATCCTTTGAATATTCCCCGCCCATTGCAGTCTTTTTAATTTAATGCACGTTACACCCTAGCAAATGTAGTTACTGTAATTTAGACATGTACCTTACTAAGTGTACATGTAGGTACAGGAACAAAAATTAACGCATCAGCTGAATGTAACCAGAAAGGGAATGTGAATGGTCTAAATGGGCCATCTATGCCACTGAAGTGTGTGTCTGAATGAAATTCCTGAATTTATATCAGGCTGAGAACATCTGCTAGGGATATTTCAGCCTGGTATGATAAGGATTAATGAATTGACATGCTTTTATGCTGTTTACCGTGTAATTACAAATTAAAACTCACGGTAGCCAAACAAATGGATGAAAAGTCTTCATGGTTGCCATTCAGTTTAAAAAAATAAGTTCCTAGTCAAGCTTCAGCAGATTCAGAACCGTTCCAGTTCTTAAGAGCTTGTTTCCACTTGCATCACAACACTTTTCTTGTTATTATTACAAACATCACGGTTTCTTTATTGAGGTTTCTGCATTGTTGATTTCTGGGTATTCCCATAGAAAATTAATATATTTACCGAAGTTACCTCCATGAAAATCCTGTGTTTGTGTATATTTTTCTTAACCTGGATGAGTTTGTTTTTAATCTAACCCTGTTGAAATAAATCGTGCCGCTATTTATTTTTATGTAGCATTGAAGAAGTGCGATGTGTGACGTCAGAATTACTGTTCCTGTCACTTTTTGTAGCTGCAGTGGCCATGTAACCATTATTCACTCCATTTGAATAACAGTTGGAATATGCTTTAGAATATTCACTACTGTAATCTGATGCCAACTTGTGGTTTGTAACACCATTGCCATTGCTGTCTGTCATCTTGTCTTCCACTAGAGGCTAGAATAAAAATAATCGTATGTTAGAAAGGTTACACTGCATATTTGTATTTGAATACTAACTGCCCCAATATTGTCAGGGTGATTAAGTCAAGAAGAAGAGATGGGCGGGGCATGTAGCACACGTGGATGGGACAAGAGGTGTGCACCAGGTATTGGTTGGGAAGCCTGAGGGGGAGAGACCTAGACGTAGATGGAAGGACAATGTCAAAAGGTATCTATGGGAGATAAGAGTTGAAGGAGACTGGATTTTGTTGGCCCAGGACAGGGTCCGGTGGAGGGCTTTGGTTAATTCGGTGATGAACCTTCGGGTTCGGTAAGCCATCTAGTTAGTTAGTTATACTAACTGCAGTAATCTTCTTGAAAGTGTGAGTAACAAAAGATTAATCATCAGCTTACTTTGTTTTTAGAAGAAAAAACACATTCAATTGTAACCAGAAGCTGGGACTTAAAGAAAGAAAATACATAATTTTGTTGTTAACTAGACATGGCACAAACTACATGCAATTAATCACACAATAATTCAACTGCTAAATTTTTTCACTAGTTGTTGTGCTACTCATAATAAATTATAAGCAATTAAATAATTTGTTTACTAGAAAACAAAAATGCTGGTTTAAGAATCAGAGTAGCAATTGTCTTGTCTTAATATTATTTGTCACATCAACATCTGCAGAAAGAAATCGCAGTTGAGTGATCGGTACACTTGCTTCGTATTCAAGAAATACCAGGTTCGATTCTTACTTTAATATTCGTGATTCTTCCCCGTCTCAGTCCAGACAAATACCGAGATAATAATTTAAAACAGAATACAACCATTTCCTTCATCACTCATAACCAATTTTCCATTTAACATTACAAAACAAATCCAGTTGATAAATCGTCATTCAACAAGGAACCTAATATGAAGGCAAATGTCTGGTGATATTTCTTTGTGAATGTTTCCAGTACTTTGCCTCAGTCAAATTGAGTCTGTGGAATTCAGTCACGCATGCCTGAAATTAACCTTCGTCAACCGTGCGTTGTGCCTTTTGTTCAGTCTAGTTGACCATGTGTTGCGCGAACATACAGCTAAACTATTAACACTAGATTTAAGTCCAACTGGTAGTCTGGGGTGGGGTGGGGGGTTAAACCCACTACTCTCATATAATAAAGGTTATGGTAATTTTATATTTCATATAACTTGTATCATTCACATACTGCCAACTCTAACACTTTACACCACTTACCATGCATGCCCCAGAATTGGTGTTCCTCAACCTCTCACTTTTTACATAGCTTGTTTTATAAAAGTCCGAAAACAAGAAGAGGAACAAAACTCCATGGAGACCAATCCAGACCATAAAACCTTTAGGATAATTACAGTCTGAGTAAAACAGTATCTGGAACTGATGTGCAAATATCAGCACAAACTGCACCTGCAAATACACACACAATTTTAATAGCACAAGTCATTTAGATTACACAGCAAAACAGATTTGTTGTGGTAAGTTCCTCATTAAACAGTTTTTGCCACTAAGTCATCTGTCTTAAAGACAAATTTACTACATTCGTCACATTGTTTGAGCATTGTTCTTTCCTGAATCAATCTTTCAACCCAAATTGTAACAAATGTGAAATAGTTTCATATATTTTAATCTCTACTTCTTAGAAATTAATAGATAAATGGGTATGAAATGAATAGTTTATTTCCATATTGTAATTTTTTCATGAATCTCGCTTTTGTTCCAAGTATTTCCAGTAGAGTCCCAATTATCCAACCTAAACAGGAATGAAGGACAGTCAGATAATCGAAAATGTTGGATAATATGGAAGACTAATGAAAAAGATGAGGGTAAATACCAACTTAATTTACGATATTAAATTGCAAAGGAAATACTGTAAGGCATCAAATGAAAAAATACCAAAAAAAAACAATGTAAATTTGTAAATGAAACTTTTTATATAAAAAATAAATTAGTAGTTGGTATTTGCTTGTGACCTTCCTTCACTTTCTTTGCCCTAAGGTCATGCCAGTGCCTGAACAGTAATATGTCTGCAGAAACTGAGTACATAAAGTGAAGAAAGTGCATTGTGGGGGGTGTGGTTCATTCTGTTATATGGTGAGTTAACTGTTGATAAAGTTAGCCATTCTGACATGGCACATCACATAAAACAATGTCAGATAATCAAGACTCTACTGTACTTTTGTCACAGTCATTGTACTCAAAGGATTCTTTAGCAACTATATTATTATATATAATAATAATAGTGTCCCGCGTCGTAGCCGTGCGGTCTGAGGCATCATGCTTTGGACCGGTGATACAGAATGCACGCTGGTTCGAGTCTCGGGGAAAGATTTCTCATGAGATTTTTGACCGGTGTATGGGACCGGTGACGGTGAGGAAATTGGGGAGCTACAATGGGTAGCATAATCCGGTCATGAAAACTACCAATGGCTGGGGGTTCGTCGGGCTGACCACACGCAACCCTATATCTGGTTGGATGATTGTTCACCTCTGCTTAGGCATGTTAACATGAGGCCAGCTAGTCGGCTTTGGCTCGAGGGCTGTTACGCCACGGATTATATTAATAATAATAGTGCCAATTATCTTAATAAGTCATATTTTTTGTAAACAAATGCAATGAAATTTACCATTTGGAAACTTGTCAGGTATTTCTTCCACCAGATATATTTTTGATACTTGGGTCCCATTGCAGAGACCATGTAGTAGAAGTACATGATGATGTGTACAAATGTGTTGAGCAGTGCAAAGAATGTGCTGTGGCCACCTACAACACAAAACAAAATATCAAAATATACTGAATTTAAATGGTGCAACGAAGAGGTGATGTATGTTAGACGTTCTTAAGTCTGCAACGAATTTACAAATGGGACATGTGTCTTTACTGTTGATTGACCTTCATAACATAGTTAAGCGGCCCATCCACGTAAAAGTCTGGCTTGCGAGTCTGGCTCGACTCGGGTTCCATTGAGCCAAACTCGTTGGGGGGTGGGGTGTCACGAGCCGAGTCTGCTATGCATGTGTGGTGAAATATATCCGAGCCCGGCTCACGAGTCAAGCTCGCTGAGCCAGACTCGTATGTGGATGGGCCGCTTAATAGGAGACTTAAACCCCCATATTACAGGGCTGCCAACAGACTATAACTCCAGGGTTAATGGTTTAGCAGTATGCTAGTGCAGTGCATGGCCAGCTGGATCATGCATGAGCCGTGATACACGGATGATAACGGTTATATTACTATTGCTATTACGATGGCTACTACTGCAGGTTTGTAAGCCTTCAAAGCTATACTGTAGTACAGAAGGAACCTGAATGGTTAGTAAGTATAGAATTTGTGTAAATTTCACTTTTAACCACACGCTGAATCATAACTCTTTTGGGAAACAACTACTCCTCCTACTATGACAATGCTAACAGGATTCTTAATCACGTTACAACTCAGGCGAAAGTTATATTTTAATAGATATTTATGCGTTCAAATCTTGTATGCAAACTTACTCACCAGGAGCAAATTTCATTCCCATCCATACGCTCATTGGCATGCAACCATGGTGTATAACATGGAGATTTGACACCTGGTTATTCTTCTTTCGAAGGATAAAAAACAACTAGAAAATAAACACACTTATTATGTAAACATAATCGTAAAAATACTGAGTGTTTTATATATTTATGATTGGGGTCAGGATATTAAATTCATGAAATAACACACATGCAGTGAGGTCTTCTTCGGTGATCATTAGCCACGTGATTAACTGATATTGATTCCTGATTATGGAGACAGTCTATGAATGAAGGTGGCTGTCTTCTGGATGGTGCACCGTGTAGTCTGGTAGAACTTCTAAGAGACTACGGCCATCTTCATACTCACCGCTGTGAAAACCTCAAATCCTACAGTCTATGAACCTTTGAAAATTAATTGAGTACATGGTTGATCACCTGAGATGATTTTATTGTGTCACCATGAAAGCTTCAAATCTTATATAATATGCTACAGTAATATGTGAATTTCTCTTACCGTGTCAAAGAATTCTGTGAATTTGGAGAAGTAATACCACCAACATGTCCTTGCCATCTGAAAAAAGAAAAATATTTAATTTTATATTATGAACTGAATTTATACTCAGTCATTTTAAACGTGATTAAACTGCGATTGTAATGAGGGAACTAGCATTTCTCAACTTGGATTAGTTAACTGTGTTCAGTAACTGTTTTCCAATGGCCCTTAAAACACCTCCTATGCCTCATATAGGAATGGTGCCAGGTGCTGAAGGGATAAGCCAAAAACCCTCATAACCTCAAAAAAAGCATTTGTACCTCACATACACACTGCAAGTTTCGACTAGAAATACGTGTTATTTAAAATGGACTTCATATTCAATGGTGATTATGATCATAAGCTAATTTTGCTATTATGATTGGTTGATTTATGGGATTAAAGACCACTCATTTGCGACGGTAATATATGCTTCTCATGCAATAACTAGTTCAGTCTGGATTACGGAGTTTTTGGACTTTGTCAATTACTCCAGAAGAAAGCAATGGAAAACCACTTCTGTATCACCTGCGTAAAAAACATAGATGAACAGGTCCCAGTCCGAGAAAAGGACGGAAGGATCCTGTTCATAATATGTCGCCAACCTCCTGTAAAGGAGACGGCGTAATAAAGAAGACGATGCTACTGAATTCTAATAATTTTGTCTACATCCCTGCATGTGTGCTTGTATACACACAGTCCTGGTTTGTATGACTGAGAAGTTAGTGTTAATCCTCTGAATTAAATGTGAGGTACTTACTCTCAAAGCCATTGGATTATTGGAATAGTCAACAGGTTGGCAGCGAAAACTGTAGTGGCCTGCCCAACCACTGGCCAGATACTGAAACAAACAACAAGTTCATATTTCATATCAAAGATACAAATGTACCATTTCTTTCTGTTTTAAGTTTTACAGACTACTTTACGAAGGCTATACAGCGAGTGATCACACTTCTAGCTGGTTTAACGACCTTCAGAGTAGAATATCTATAAAGGAAGAAATTAAGGGAGGCGAAAATAAAGTGATCTTTATAAAACAAGAGTAATAAAATGATAATGGTCTCCTCCAAAAGTTATCCATTATTTTTGAACTCCAATTATGCACATAGCTGGCTTTTCAAAATCTACTAAAAATTTAACAAAGATTCCATCCACATGAATGACACTTATAACCTGTGCATGTTAGTTTGACGATACTGAAAATGTTTCACTTCTCTTAAAATATTTTGAAAGTATTACTGCTTAGTAAAAATAATGAACCACAATAATGTTTATCCTTTCTTGCTACGTATGAAATTATATAGTTAAAACAAAAGAAATCACTATACATGTTGGCTGAGTCAGTGTCCCCCCCCCCCTAGTAACTTACAAAGGAAGTAGCTGATCACTAAATCTTGCAGGAAGTTCATGTTTTGAAGACCACGGAAAACATGCAACTTTTAAAGCCAAATGGAAATGTGGAATACAATAATGCTAATACAAGCTCATTTTAACAAGCCATACATAATCCCTTGATCACGCATGAGGAATATTGCAGTATGGGAAGAAACAATTTATTTCATTAATATTATAATGAAATACAGACATCTGGCCTGTGGGGGATTAAATTCCAGACATCCCGAATTACATAAAAGTAATATCAGAGAGATTCCTCGATCAATATAATTTCTTTCAAAACAAGTCTACCAGTCCGACACAGTCCCATTTTTCTTATTACGAAACCACGTTCTACCACGGTGATCTAATAATAGAGTCAACGTTATCAAACCACAGCTCCTGGCACATTACTGCACTCTGGCGTGAATCTATTCGAACTTCCCAGGGTTTTGTCCCAACGTGTCCGCGAGATCCAACCGGAATTTTAAGAGTCTGCTGTAAAGCATTTCCGCGTTGAATGGGAGGGGACGCGGGGGCAATGTGACGTTCACCATACACTCACAACAAAGTCAGGAACTGTATTCTCTTCGCCTAAATCTTATTACATCTGAAAAGGTGAACCCGATCTACGGACTGGAAGGCGTAAGTTCCATTTATGGGTAGGTACATTGGATAAAATCTGTTGACACTTTCGAATTTTGGTTGAAATCGGACAACAGTAACGGACACTTTACATTAAGATCTAAATGCATTTCTGCACGCAGAAGTGGCTGGATGGTAAAATCCGAGGGTTACTTTGATTACTATGGTTAACTTGTTTTGCTTTCTGTTAGACTGTTTCAACAATATTTTTAAAAAGTAATTGAATAAATTTATTGATTACAGTGGGATCTCTACTGTCCCATTTTCAACTAAATACAGCAGACTGTTAGCCGAGACGCCATTGGTCCTACCAACTTCACTCTCCAGAAGATTAATTCGTGGACATATCGTGTTTCTGCGCAGGCTCCTTACAAACTTGCCAGACAGGAAAATCTCTCCTTGGTTTGAATCAGTTATTAATTTACTGCAATTAGTGTACGTTATGCACAAATTTCGAACCGCTATAAAAGTAGATGAAATTGAATTTCTAATATCTGAGGCAGCCACGGCCCAGTTCACCTCGATTAATCGAAGTCCCACTGCGTACTTAAAAGTAACTTGTAATATTAGTTTTAGTTCATTTGTCAGGTTCTCACGGCGGGCGTTACGCCGCGTAATCTGGAATAAATTCAGGTTTCCCGACTTAATTTCTGTATGCATTTCTAATTTACTCATACGTGATATTACGTCCCTCCCATCTGTTCCTCCTCGATGTGATCACATGGAAAGTGCAAATTAGGAAGTTCGGGGACAGAAAAAAGGTGTAAAAGGCAAAGTAACGAGTTTGAATAACGGACTCATACGTACAAACGAGTTTAATCCATTGAGTAGTTATTTTATGTGCCACATACTTTAACATTAAGTAACTCTGAATTTTACTCACACATTGTATTTGTGGGATCTCTAGAATTCTCAGAATAAACAGTGATCATTTCCCTAAACAGCATCAACTAGTAGATCTTTGCAATGATCATGCGTTGTTTCCTTTGCGGTACGGACCAATTTCTTAACTACTGTTTAGACGAACTTCGGCTTCAAAGGGATAAAAGCTACACCTTCTGCAAGAGGTTTTACGCAGACGCAGTTATCGTACCAGCGTCGACTTTGTCACCCGACAACGAAGTGTGACATGAAATGTACTAAGTCGATCGGCATTTAGGCCGATTCTCGACCTCCATACCACGTATTTCCGTTACACTTCTCTCTCTCCATCGAATCGACTGTAAACAAATTTTAAAACACTGAAACAGTTCTAGCAGGCTCCACTCGGAGAGCATAAAAAAGGCTTTTGTAATCCAATAACGCTGACGGATCAGGCGAGGTATGGAAAAAGAAATTATGAATGGATTCACAAAACGTTTCCATCCCAGCGATCATCAGCAGCCTGGTTCACACAACACTGTTTTCACAGAACACGGCATTCGGCCTCGGTTTCACTCGCACTTCGAATTTCGTATCACCACCATCTAACAACATGTGTTTTGACTAAATTCAGTTTCTCTGCAACATATTTTGGCCCTCAGACCATCATGAGAACAACGACCTTCATTCACGGAACTGTGGACAGCCTGTAAACAACCCCCCCCCCCTCAAATTGACAAACACGTACTTTTCCCTGTATGGAGACCCATAGATGGGGACAAATGATACTGATGGTCCGAGGACCGGAACATGTAATGAAAGAACTGGTTATTAGAAACAAGCGACAGTAAATGCATAATTAATAAGCATTTGGCTTCAATCTGTCCACGGTTATTCAGAGCAGAATAACATTCAGACTGTTTCTCGTGCCTATGAACACCGAACTGCTACAGTTCTTGGCTTGTGTGGCCAGAAACGAAAATTTAAATCAAGGTGTTGTCAATCTCTCCCAGACCTGGGGGCACATCCACCTTTTTTTATTGACCAGTGGGCCGCAAATGAGGAAAATCTATTGAAACACCACGGCATACTTCTGCGAATAGGTCCACATATGACTTATAAGTACGGTACATAGCGCTGTTTCTCCTTGCGTTTTCTTTCAATGCGAAGTTTAATTTCTATTGCAATTGGCATGCTCCCATGAAGTGTTAACTATTACGACGCCTTCTAATTCTGGACTTGATGTTCTTCATTACGCTAAACAACTGTTCACAGAGACAGGCAGGCCTACTCCAGAATACTGACGATATTAATAAGGCGTGTTTTCCAGAATGATAAAATGCAAGCAGGCCGCACAAAACAAATCGTATGTGACCTGACTATCCACGGAGGACATGAAGGGGAGGGGGGTGCAGTAAATCTTCAGACTAGGCGCGGAGTTCTGCGTCCAAGAATTGGAACCAGCAGTTGTCGAAGCACGTAACGAGCGCCGAGGAATTTGCATCGTTTGCAGTGACAACAGCGCATATTAAGACACAACAGGCTTCCGCTAGGTCATAATAGGCCCACGTATAGGCGGGGACAGCCAGGAAATTCGCTTACGAACTAAAGTGTAAGGCCGATCTTGTTGGGAAGTTGTTAAACGCTTCTGTATTTAGGACACCATAATAACATTTATAAATAATAGCAATCTTTGGTGTTAATATTTGCAAAATTTCTTCCTTCTTAATTTTTAAAATTTTTATTTTTCCCAAGAAATCGAGTGAGGCAGATACACACCTCAAGTTGTATATCAAAAACTTGTTACCATTCATTGTGCAGAGCATGGCTTTTTGATTTTAGTTGAACAGAAGGATGACATGTACGGAACAAGAACCGATGTTTCAGAGGTGCTCCATCATCACAGCCCTGATGATGGAGTCAATAAATACCTGTGAAACATGTCAATTTCTACCCGACTACACAGTGCAATATCCCAGAAGACAGTCATGTTCAAAGACTTGTGGTTCTCACGACAGTGAAAATGTCGTTCGGTGTGTTATGGGTTGTAATGCCGTGTGACATTTCGGAGTAATGTCCATCTTTAAGTTGAATCCCAAAAACCACAACCGAAATAGTATAACACAGCCCTTCCCTTCAACCTAACCAGATAGTCCCTTATACAGAAACCACATGGCCCTAATTGGATTCTTCGTACAACAGACGAGCTATACAGGACTACAATTATTGATGAATATCAATACAATTTACAGCTAAAGTTTAAATCCGTAAACTATCGAGGAATGTATACAGAAAAGCACATATATTAATAACAACATGGGAAAAAATAAATATTAAGATTTATGAGTATTTTTAAAACGAAATTACGTGTTGGCTGGCGTTTAATAAGTCTTCAATCAAATAAAGTTGCTTTCTGCGTGGGCGTAAGTGGTTGCAAGACAATCTTCGACAGCATTAATGATTCATCAGTTTCCAAGTTGGGTGAATTATTAAATGATTACGTTTGTTGCTAACTTGGCTAGGGCGGAGATAAGTCTCAGTCCAGTGATTACCCACAAAATCACGAAAACGCGACAAAATAATATCAAATAAATTTCAGACAATTTACAAAATCTATTCGTTATTCATGATCAAATAGGCATCC